AGGCAATTCTCCTGCCTCAGCCTCCTGAGTAGCTGGGATTACAGGCACACGCCACCATGCCCAGCTAATTTTTTGTATTTTTAGTAGAGACAGGGTTTCACCATGTTCAAAAGGATGGTCTCGATCTCTTGACCTTGTGATCCACCCACCTCAGCCTCCCAAAGTGCTGGGATTACAGGCGTGAGCCACCGCGCCCAGCTGGAAGTGACTTTTAAGGCATGTTAGAGGCTGGATGTGGTGACTCACACCTGGAATCCTAGTGCTTTGGGAGGCTGAGGCTGGAGTAGCGCTTGATGTCAGGAGTTTCAGACCAGCTTTTGTAGAGACACGGTCACTTCAAAAAATAAAAAAGCCAATGGGGTGGTACCCACTTGCAGTACCAGCTATGGGTGGCTGAGGCGTGAGGGTCACTTGAGCACAGGAATTCAAGGTTACAGTTAACTATGATTGCACTTCAGCCTGGGCTACAAAGCCAGACCCTGTCTCTAAAATAGGTAAATAAAAATAAGTTGTGAACAGAATAACAATAAGATACCAACCCGGAAGATCAAAGGGAAAAGCCTTTCAGACAGGAAGCAGGTGGTACAGTGACCCCAAAGCTCTATTTTAAAATGGGCGGAGGCAAAAAGCCTGCATTTCTAGAGCTTGGAGAAGAAAACTTTTAAAAAATTACCTCATCCCACTCCTGTTCTTTCTTGCTTGAGAGCTGGAGCCTTTACCCTACCACACATCCCTGGATATGCCCAGGATTTGACTCCGGCTTTCAAACTTTGCACAGTAGCTGCTACTAACTTTTTGAGATATACATTCCTGGGGGCTCAGTCCTGCCTCATCTAAATCACCAGAGACCAAACAAGGACCAGCCCAATATCTCTTGGACTTTAATGTCATAATGTTGTCAGAATAAAGAAAAAGATGAAACTAGGCCAGGCGTGGTGGCTTATACTCCTGTAATCCCCGCACTTTGGGAGGCTGAGGCAGGTGGATCATGTGAGGCCAGGAGTTTGAGACCAGCCTGGCCAACATGCTGAAACCTCATCTGTATCAAAAATTACAAAAGTTAGCCAGGTGTGGTGGCATGTGCCTATAATCCCAGCCACTCAGGAGGCTCAGGCAGGAGAATTGCTTTAATCCGGGAGGTGGAGGTTGCGGTGAGCTGAGGTCGTGCCACTGCACTCCAGCCTAGGCAACAGAGTAAGACCATGTCTCAAAAAAAAAAAAAAATTTTTTTTTAATTATCTCAGCAGTAAAATGCAAGAGAACTAATTTTCCCCCAAATTTAACCAAATGTTACTCTGATTATTAGTATGCCACCATCTTAAACTCCTTTTATCTGACTAGTAAGGATGGACATTTATTTTGTGACCAACTGTTCTTTTGTGGTGAATTACCTATTTACATTCTTTGACTATTTTTCTATAGACATCTGCATCCCCCCACCTCTGCCCCCTTGATAGAGATTACTATCTTCTCTACTAAACTAAGACTCCAGGGCAGAGAAGCCTGTTTAATTCATCTGAAGGAAGGCTTGGCACAAAGTGTGCACTTACATATTTTGTTTTTGAGATGGAGATTCGCTCTTCTCCAGGCAGGACTGCAATGGCGTGATCTCTGTTCACTGCCACCCCTGCCTCCAGGGTTCAAGCGATTCTCCTGCCTCAGCCTCCCAAGTAGCTGGGATTACAGATGCCCGCCACCACACCCGACTAATTTTTTGTATTTTTCAGACGTTGTCTCTGTCGCCCGGTGGCACGATCTACAACCTCTACCTCCCGGGTTCCAGCGATTCTCTTGCCTCAGCCTCCCGAGTAGCTGGGACTACAGGCGTCCACCACCACGCCAGGCTAATTTTTGTTATTTTTTAGTAGAAACGAGGTTTCACCAAATTGGACAGCTGATCTCGAACTCCTGACCACGTGATCTGCCCGCCTAGGCCTCCTAAAGTGTTGGGATTACAAGCGTGAGCCACCGTGCCCGACCAATTTTTTTTTTTTTTGTATTTTTAGTAGAGACAGGATTTCCCCACTTTGGCCAGGCTGGTCTCGAACTCCTAACCTCACGTGATCCACCACCTCAGCCTCCCAAAGTGGTGGGATTAGAGGCGTGAGCCACCGCGCCAGGCCTCGCACTTACATAGTTTCCACGAATCAACAGTAAATATTTGAAAACTACCCTCCTCTCTCACAATTTCTTTTTTAACACCGTCTTTCAGTTCTGCTTTAAAATTCACTCTTGCTGCGTTTTTTATTCTGACATGGTGCAGGTAGATAAATTCAAGACAACTTACGTACTCAATTTTAGAAGTCGACAGGAAAGAATTAGGGAATCAAAAATTCAAGTGTTCCCCCTCTTAGCCTCCAAATGTAATGTGTTCCAGAAAGGTAACCACCTAGGAGACTCCAAGGCTCAGGCCACCACCAGATGCCCACACTTCAGAAGCATTTATATAACGCCATGGTTACGACAGGAGACCAAAAAAACCCATTGACAACCAAACCCTATGTCCGAAGCTACGGCACGAGTCGCACGCAGGCGCAGATTTACCAGCGCCAGAGCCGACGGTCGGGGGCGGGAGGGAAGGAAGGGGAGCGCCTAGCCACTTCCCATAATGCCGCGTTCCGGAAGTTGTTGCTTCCAGGGGTCACTCTGGCTTCGGCTCCGTCGCTCTCAATTCGCCACCAGAAGGAAGGCAGAGCTGGCTGCCCAGCCCAAAGGCCCATGAGGGGATGCAGTTATGGGCTCTGTCGCCGTGGGTGAGTTCTGGGCCCGCTGCCTCGCAGTCGTCGCTCGCCTGACTTCCTGCCCTCGGAGAGCCCCTATTTTCCGCCCCAACCTCTTTCTCTTCTTGAAGGCCCCTCTCCTTAAGCGTGTAACCCGGCTACTTTTCGGTACTGCGATCTCATTGGTTGCATGTCCTGTCAGTTCCAAGAGCTGGCAAATGAGATGCCGCTGCTGGCGCTTCTCGACCCCGTGGACTCCGAGCTTCCCCCGTGGGATCGGAGCTTTTAGAAAGGGAGGAGAGGGGAGATGTGGAAGGTCGAGCAAGTTGGTGGCAGGGACTGCCCTATGGGTTGGGGCTGGGTTTGCAGCCGCGTTCATACAGTTACTAGGAAAAGCAGGATCTGTCACCTAAGAGAGGACTGATCTACGCAAAACTTGAAAGCCACGTTAAGACCTGCTGACCAAAGTTTTCCACACGCTTACATTTTTAATGGAACCAAGTAGGCGGGGGAAGACTGGGAGGGCAGAGAGAGAAGAGACTTGGAATAATGTGAGAGCTGGCAAGACTAGCTTTGATTTAAATTTGTGTGGAGTCCTGCAAAGAGTCATTTCAA